CGCTCCCCCCCCCCCCCCATCTCTGAAACTGTAGGGTCTAAAGAAAAAGGGGTGGGGTAGGGAGCTCAAAATAAGATGAAACAGACGCCGACGAGAACTTGTAAAAAGATTTCCCTGTTTATGTTATGTATATTTTGTAATATTTTGAAGGCATTTTAGATTTATAGAAGTATTTTGAGTGCATAATCCTTTTATTTGTCCTGTCTGCAAGCTTTTCTCCCTCTGCTGTAACAATAAAACAGAGATGTACCCAGCTTAAATAACTTAGTTTCTACTTGTGTCTAACGTTTGGTTCCTATTGCCCAGATAATGTATGAAACTACGTGTATTTGTTTGGCAGAGCAGTTCTGCCAGCTTTAAGTGTGTGTGAGTGAATATCATTAGAAAAAAAAACGACCAGAAATAGAAATCGAAAGTTGAATTTATTTTAACTCCACGCTCCAGTTTCTTTCTTTCCTCACCCTCCTCACTTAGCTGGAGTGTTGGGAGATTAGGATGAAGAGGAATTGTAACCACCGCCCCTCCCCTTCCACCCGGTTTACGAGCGCAACACTGCCAACTTTATGGATATGTCTCTTTTGTTTGTCCAGCAACTTTTTATATGACCAAAAAAATTGGAGGAATCGACATATTTCCTACAGGAGTGTTAGGGATATGTTGGAACTTAGAGCTCATAATCGCGTGTTTGGCGCACAACTGGACTGAACGACCCATTCCCATATATATTCTCACAAACTCTTAAAGTTAACCCCACCAAAGAGGCTTTCAGTGAAATAAAACCACTCCTTACAATGCACACTAACGTTGAACCCCAGCTAGTCATCACTCTGCTTGCCTCAACTGCCATTTTCAGCCATCTCAAACAAGAACTGTAAGTAACTTGAATGTCATTTGGTGATAGTGGGACACAACACTTAAGAAATCTTTGTTGGACGCCTAGGTAGATATAGGGTATGAGATTATCCGTACATAGGGGCTCAACAGAATATTAATTTATTCATAATATGCCCACCAGATGGTGTAATTAGGATACACTTCCAAAATTCTGCAGTTTTCAGGCCTATGTAAAGAATTAGGTTAATGGGTGAAGTCCAGGCCTTACATGAAGAGCTGAGATTATAGACCATTCTGCAAGGTTATGCAGTACCACTGCTATAAATATGTCATGGAAAAAGGTGTACAGTCTCACATATTTTCGTATTCAGAACATGAACTTAAACATAAGTAAATAATTCGGTGTATATTTCTTGCAGTGCACTAACTTTCATGTACCAATTAAGAAGTTGTAGTAAGTACAAAAAAAGTGTTGCAGAATACACTATAGAACAGGTTTTTATTATTTCTGTGTAATTTATTTAAGAGCATGCCAGATGAACAATGGGGAATTACCTTTCCAAAGAAGATGTTTCTTCTTACATAGTCACAAACTTGTGTGTGAGGGGGAAACCACATTTGACATTGTTATGTTACTTTGATGATAATACTTTCAGACTGAGTTGTGTGAATAAAGTAGCTTTGCTGATTCAATTTATCCCTCATATGTAAGACTGAGTATATCAACATAGTGGTTGTCATTTTTGCTTCATATTTCAGAATTACTGATCCTTATATTTGCCAGAGAATTATTTCACAAGAGATTTTTGTCTCAGTCCATGTAGTCAAATTTCCAGATAATAGTGCGTGAACTTATGTCATGAGAGCTTTCTCCCACACCATTTCCATATCAGTCATAATCACTATATCATTTCTTGTCTGACACCGAGTAATCTCTGCAAGTGATTCAGTTATGAACAAGTAATTCAAACTAAATCTGAAAAGTTAGGAATTATGCAACTTAAAAACCTACACTGATCCCAAAGTCCTTTTTCAGGATTTCTCTTGTCTTCTTCTTAATCCTTACCCTAATATTTTACTTCGGAAATCCCTGTCTTCATGCCCCTTATCTGCAGATTCTTTCCAGTTCTCCCTATATACAGTAATCTCTTCTCACATATTCCATTCTATTAATCTTGCATAATATTCCCATAATGCTAATCTCTACACATCTAAGATTCTGTTATTGGTCATCTTTGCTTGTTTATAGTTCTCAATCTGTATTTCAGGAAAGCCAGATGGTCTACAAAACTGCACAATATTAAACCAAACAGCAGAATCACTGCATGTAGAATGTACAGATGGTTTTGACGGTGGACTACCTCAGGAATTTATTATGGAAGTTTACGACGCAGTGACCCAGAATCTCGTCACCAATGTGACCTCAAGAGTGCCAGTGTTTACAGTCAATGGACTGGAGTCTGGTCTTGGTTTTGATATATCCCTGTATGCAGCCAATGCAAAGGGGCATAGTGATCCAGTGCCTCTCCATGCTTACACATCAAAAGCAGCAGAGAAGCACACAGGTGAGTTTGTATGCAGACTGCATGTAACTTTTAGCCTGATAATAGATTTATTAATTAATAGCCTATTTAACAATGTTTTTTTTCAACTGCACAGGTTGTGTAAGTTGAATGAGATAAGATGTTTTTGAATTGTATGTGAGAATTTTAAAGGAGTCAGTAGTAGCCTATCTGAGAGCACAGTCCCATGCATATGCTTCAGAGACTAGGACAGCCGTGAACACCCACTTAGGATAATGGATAACCTGACCAAGATTTGAAGTAGGTATGTTACAAATACAAGTGTAGATTTTATCATTGAAAATCAATATATATCTATTGTGCAATCATCAATTCTGAGGAAATAGCATAGGCTGGGTAAGTGTTGTGCCTGTTCACAACTTTAAAATGTATATTGTTTAATGAGCGGTAGATGGAAGTAACTCTGGATCATGCCTGCAGTTGGCTTTCTTGTTATACAAACCGCAAAAATTACGTTTCACAAACAACAAGGAAACCACTCATTTCAATCCACATTGTAGTCCCCATTTTACACACTTTTCCGACACTGCATTGATACCTAGATGACTCAAAAGAAGATGTTTTATGGTTGGCATTCAAGGCATTGTATTGCCATTTTGACCTGTTCATCTGACTAGAAATGATGTCCTTTTATTGTGTCTTTTAGTGGCTATGAAAGGTGATAATCACATGGAGGGGGAATGAGCCAACATTCTATGACAAATTTCAGCAGGTTCCATTCTTTCTGAATTCAAAACTGGGTTACAGATTGCATCTCTACCTTGGTGTATGAAGACTTGAACTCCAAGTTCTTCCACCACAGAGTTAGTTTATTGTCTGGCTAGTTGGTTAGTTAACTAATTAGCTAGCTAGATTGTCCTACTAATTAAGACACAGTAAGGCATATGGAAAAAGAATGTTCTGTAATATTTGCTACTGTTACAGAGAATGTAAGATAAAGTTTAAGTGAGGAATGTTTCTTAGAACTACAGGCTTTAAAAATTCTTCAGATAACTGGAAACGGGAATCTACACTTTGACATTTCTCACATCTGGAAACCAACATGTTACTGAAGTAATTTATTGTAGCTGATAAATATCTAGTGAGAACATTAAATAGATCTCAGTTATTAAATTTTATATTTAGATTTACTGTCAAAATTTACTTCTTTTTTTCTCAAATGAAGATTCAGAAAATGTCCCTAAGTGTTCAATAACAGAAGCTGAGGAAGAATTCTGCCAACCACATCATTTAACATTACAATGTTGCTGACACTGGAATTATTATATGTACCCATAGCACTCTTATAAATTTCTGTCAAATATCAGACATAAACTGCAAAGTCAGGTGGATAACATGGCTTGGTGAACTAAAACCTTCCAAATTGTACCAGTAAACTAGTATCACAGACTTCTGCCTGGTGTTCTAGAGGAACACAGTTTGGATCTTGGCTCAGCTGCCAGTTGTCCTGATAAGAATGTGTTCATTATTGCCTTTAATTCTCCAAGTAAATACCCAGATAATACCTTCAAATACACCCCAACTGCCTCCTCTCAAATTCTTTTTACGCACAGTAGGCTCATCCAAAGAGATGGTACCAAGGAGCCCTCACCTCAGCTCACAGTCAACACTACCACCAACTGACATAGAAGTTGTAACACCACTGACATCTGTCAAATAAATCCAGACCTCTTGGTGACAAACTACAGTAGTGTTTATGGACATTATCCATCATCTTGTTTTTATTTAAAACACACAGCATTTCAGAAACTGCATTCTGTATTTGTCTTCACATGAAACCTACTCAGTTGGGCCCAACTGTGTGGCTTCACCTGAAGACAGACAGAATTCATTCTGTGAAACATTGTGTTTTGAATAAAAACAGGATTATGGATAATGTCCAGAAACACAACAATTTTATATTTAGTATATCATTGTCAGGAACTTTAGATCTTATTTATAGTAGTCATGTCAGTTCACCTGATGCAAAATCAATAGAAGGAAATGTAATCATAGCAGTGCTATAATCTGAGAATAAAATATGAATTAATGATTATGAACTATTTTTCTAAACCTACTTTCCCAGATATAAAAGCACAATAGACCACTGTAGGTTGCAGTGCAAGGGCCAAGAAGGCCCACCCTTTATATATTCATTATGCATTCATTCCCAGATATAAAATATTTCACAGACATCATCAATTGTGATATTTAAAAGAGGTAAAAATGTATGGATGCATGCATGAGTGCATGAAAGAGAGAGTAGAGAGAGCAAGTTAAGCAACAGCATTTAGTTTGGCCCCTTTTACCAATTCATTTTGAAAATCTCCAATTCAGATATACATATTACATTTTGTAACATAAAGTTTGTGTCAGACATGCAGGAATTCAAGGCTGCAAAAGAGATCCATTAAAAATATTCCACCACATTTATGAACATGTGTTATGTTTATGAATTATATTTATGTAGCAAGAAACTCAGTTGACATTTGCATTTTAAATCCTTTGACTGTAAAAGTTAAATTCTAGGTATGTGATGGTTTGTGAACCATGGCACAGTATCTGCGCAACATCCACTATCTTTACAAATCTCATTCACTATGGAACATTATCATCATTGCTCAGTGTACCTGTCTGCTGTTCTCCACATATATTTCCAAAAAGGAACACATGATTTTAGGCCTCCCCTTCAATTTTAAATAAAAATTCTGAGTATTCTGACATTCTTCTGCAGCTTTCCTTATATAGGATTACACTTTCTCATATCAGATTACATTTTCTATACAAGATTACAATTCCTTATATGGGATCACATTTCTTACATGGGATTATAATTTCTTTCATGCATTTTATACTTCATAGTTTTCCAAACATAGAATTATCTTCTTTATTTGAAAGTTTGTAAACATAATAGGAATTTAAATAACTATGTATCCACATGTTTGCATACTTCAGCACTTACTGCCTTTAAACAACTCCACATAACAGTGTAAAATAAATGAATCTGATGTCTATGTGCCAACTTCCCTTGACTGATCTAATTTAGGCTTATATGCGAGATATTATTTGCTAAAGTAAATGACACCTACCACACTTTGCAAGGAAAGTTCTTAAAGTCACCATAAATGTAGTTTTATTCTAAAAATAATATCTACTCTCCTCAACCTCAGAAATAAATCTTTCAATAATCATGCTCCATCACAATAGCTAGTCACAATTAACGTATTAAAAATCGCTCTTCTTACTTGGGGGATAATTTTTAAAAATATGTTGTATGTTCTCACTATGGTTTAGAAAGATATAATGGTTTTGAAATAAAATATTTGGCAGTAAATTCTGTTTTGAAAGTGTCACAGAATTCATGAATCATAATTCTCAATTACCAGTGTCTATTGAATACTACACACAGTCTAACATAGTTAGATGCTGTGTTACTGAGCCAGAAAGAGTTCAGTGTTGAACTTTTCAAAATCAGGTTGGTCAGATAAACCGCAGCCTCCTGAGAAATGCACGATCATACACCAGACAGTCAGTTCGCTGAGAGTAGGTTGCTACACTCCCCCTGAGGTTCTTCACCATGATCACCCTGATGATGTCCCCACAACCTATGTGCTGCAAGTGTTCGACGCAGATACAAGGCATCTGGTAGCCAGTGCCACGTCTCTGACAGCAGGGATGCTGGAGATAACAGATCTGCCCACCAACCACAGGGGTCTCATGTTATCTGTTCGCACAGTGACAGCTCATGCCATGAGTGATGCTGTGTCCATCTACGCAATATTGCCCAAACAACAAGATCACCGTGGTGGTAAGACAGGATTTTCTTGTGTAGGTAAAGGGGAATGGAACTAACCTCAGTTACATAGTGTCTATGTTGGTCCCTTTATACAGAACTGAACTGAAAATGCAACCCTGCTTTCAACAGAGCATAGGTTTTGGTATAATCCAGCTAAACAAAGTTTATTAAGCATTGTACATCTGAATAGCAGAACTGACATTCCATTTAGGATTTTAGATTATTGTCTTCTGGGATGTATCACCATACAGTCTGGTAGATACCTATAAATGTTTTGGTGGAAGCTCCATCCATAAGAGTACACTGAAACACTGGTAACTATCTACAAGGTTACACAGCATCACCTCTCAGAAGACAACAGTAGTCACCTTCATAGTTATTTCCATCAGAACCTCAAATCTCATGTTGAGATTCAAGCTTAATCGCTTAATCGTTCATATTGTGGTTTTCTAGACTGACACCATATAGCCTGGTCGGTGATCACATACCACTTACAAGACTACATGGTGCCATAAGCCATAGGATGGCATTATGACATTCCAATTAGCAATGTTCCACTGAAACACCTAATGATGCTCTTTATATAATCACACAAGTCACAAATATCAAGAAACTGGAAATGTTATTTGTAACATCAGTTCTGTGTAAATTATAAATGCTGTACACAGACGGTTGTAGTTCATGTATTGTCTGTTTCTACTATTAGGAGAACAAGTACAGCACTTATGTTACACCTCTGCATATTATTCTTAAGTTTCACAGAAATTGTTATGAAAATTGTACTTTGGGTCTGCTATGCTGCAAACAGTATATTGTCCAAGTTTTTAAACATTAACTCAAATGCTGACAAATGGTATTTTGCACCCTTAATAAAGCCGTCAGAAAATTGAATGTAGTAACCTTATTTCAATTTCATATGTCTTTTGAAATTTATGCCATGTTCAAAATGTAGTAAAGCAGTTGAATATTCCCATCAACATGTAAAATTAATCTTTTTCTTTGTCATGAATTTGAACCTACTGACCAATTGATGCATATGAGCGTTATCTCATTGACCTAGTTTCTGAGTGCACAACATTATATCCCAGAAGACAAAACTCTTCATAACCAACACTGTGATAACTTCAAATCTTACCTTTACAGAGACTGTTTTGTGACCATAGTCTGCTCTGTAGATCTCTTGTTCTAATCACTGTTATCAAATTAATATTACATGTTTGTGGGAATTCTCAAAAGTACTATGATAGCATGGGAAAAATGCAAAAAGGTATAAGCATTTCCACCAGATACCAGAAATGTCCAGAAGGTCACATAAATTTAAACTGATAAGATATCACAATTTTATGACAGCTTCCAAAAGTGTCAGAAGTACTGCAGCAGAATTTGAAGTTTAATAATAAGATGACAATATTTATTGCAGCCTTCCATACCCTGAAACAATTTGCACAACAAATTGCTGGTAATTTGAGAAGAAAAGAGCATTCTTGACACTGTCAATTTCTTCCATCTAACATGGGAATTTGAATAACTTTGGAACAGGATTTACTGATATATCTTAACAACTAACTTTAGCGTTTGTTAGAGTCGTGCTTAATGAGTTTTAAAACAGTCTGTGTTACTAACTTTCGGTGTTGGTTTGACTAATTATGGAATGACTCAAATTATTTATTCATAGTTTTACTTGTTCTTCTAGTAATTTATAATATTATGGTCATGTTGGTTTTGACAAAAAAACGCTGGCATGTAGACAGTGAAAAAAGAATGACAAACATTACAACAGTAAAGATGGTACTTCTCAAAAATATGCCTAGATGGACTACATTGAAAGACAAAATTATTAATATACAGATTATAAATGAATTAGATATATTTAGTTCAAATCATAAAATTAGAATTAATTGAAATAACTTGACACACCATGTAAAGAGGATGGAAAGTCATATATCTAGATAAATAATTAATTATATGCGTTGAAGAAGTCTCACTGGATTCCTGAAAGTGTGGAAGAAGGATCAGTCTATTTCATAGGCATATGGAACAGACATGAATACCCAGACTTATGACAATCATGATAACCATTGTGACAATTTAATAAAAATATGCTGAATGGCGTTATACATATTATCATACTCTATTTTTTTTTCATATGTAGTTTCTTAGTGATGCTGTCAGAAACTCACACAGGATAGCATCAGATGATAGGATTTCTTGAACAGTTAGTTCTAAAGGCTGTAGAAGGAAGCAGCTGTAACCGAATTGAGATTTCTGAGACAGTAAATTATGGTCACAAGTCCCAAGGGACTCAGACCCAAGAAAGACTGCACTGGCAAGGGCCAGCAGCATATACAAAATACAGACCCGTCCTCTCGTCAGAGAGAGTGCCCCACAAAAACAAGACTGTAACTGTCAAACAGTAACAAATATCTGGTTATGAGCCCCAGATGGGGCTCGAAACCAAGACTTACTGACTGACTGGCCGTCAGTCGCAAGGTGACTTTGACTTTGAGTTGACTTGACAAATGACAGACCCGACCTCTCATCAGAGAGGGCGTCCCAAATGAACAGGACAGTAACTTTCATATAAGAAGAAAAAAAGAAGAAAAAAAACTAGTCATGAGCCCCAGTCGGGGCTCAACACCAAGACAGACAGACTGACAGACCGTCAGTTGCAATGTGACTTGGACTTGGACTGGACCAAGTTAAACTTGGCGGCAGTGAAACATATGACTGTTCAAGTGACTAGACTGCCATTGTAGCAGAAGCTACTAGAAGTTGGGTAAAATCTGCTGTACTGAGGCTGGACCGACAGAGGCCCGGTATATATTTTATATACATTTTTAACACATTTAACATGTAAAATGTAAACATCTTTTACATTATGAGAAATGACTGGGCTCGACACCAAGACTGACTGACCACTAGTCACAATGTGACTTTGACTTTGAACCGAGAGAGTGACAGAATTAGTTCAAGGGCAGTTATAAGTCAGTCATAAGCTGGAGAAGTTAGTCTAGAAGAATTTTTAGTTCTGAGGTTCAAGAGTGGCTGAAGACGAAATAGTAAGAAGACTTCATAGTGAGTTGAAGTGCTACTTTCTGTGTTGAGATCTGTTGCCAGGAGACAACTGGTGACAACTGGGAATCCCATTGCATGTGCAACAGTGAATTGGAAAGTGTGTAAATCAGTGATAGTACTGAATTTAAGTGTGATTAAACTAACTTGTAACCAAGGTGCTAATAAATCTAGTCATCTAAACTAGAACCCCTTATTTTCATCAAGCATATCACCCAACATGTGACAATAATTTATAGTTATCTTGTCTCCATAATGGTAACCTTGGTGGATCATATGATAGTATATCTTCTTAGGGAAACCAGTATTTAAATCTGTGAATTTACTGGACTGACTTTTTTTATTCTCCTGTTTGTGTAATTTTTATGCCACTTTCTTTTTTATACAACCTGCCTAACAGTAAACTTTTAGTCAATCATTTATCTTAATTTCCTTTTACATGTTCCACGCTTTTGTCATACCATTATGCAGTTTGCCAAGTGCTTAATCCTATTTTAGCTATACTGGCTTTAACAAAAGCTTTTTAACTTGAACTTTGACCAGGTACAAATAGCCAAAGCTACTGATGTGACTTTAAACCAACACACTCTCTCTCTCTCTCTCTCTCTCTCGTGCATGCTTGCGTGCACGCGCGCACACACACACAGATGAGGATATGTGCACGCACACACACACACACACACACACACACAAACCTCTTTCCCAACTCCACAACTTCTTATTCACATTCCATCTTGCAATTATATCTGTGTAGTCCAAGCATTCCACACATTTAACACATAAATCATCTTTGAAGTCTATGCATATCAATTGAACATAAACCTGCTTTCAGTCCTTATGTTAGTTTCTTTACATTACAGCTGCAACACCTGCAATTCTGCACATTACACCAATCCTAGGGGTTCTCATTGGTGTTGTCACTGCACTAGTGCTTGTAGCTGTCATCATAGTGGTAGTGATGCGGCTCCGAGGTCACGGGGATGAAGATGTGAAAGAGCACGAAGATGGTAGTGGTAACAGTGGGAGAAGAGCAACACCACCTGGAGGTGACAAAGCCAGCTCTATTCCGCTCAACAAGGACACAGATGAAAGCATGGATAGTATGGATGAAAAAAATCCTGACATCATTCCTCAGAACAGTGGTATGTTGAAAGTTTTAGTTATTTGACACAATATTAAATATTATTTATAACCATTATCAAGTTTGAAAAATAATGTTGACTTTCTTGCATGAAGCAAAATGATTCTATGAGGTAGTAAGCAGAAGAATTCAAGTAAATGCAGACATTCTCTCATAGCACCACAATTGAGCACACCAACCTTCATTAGGGGCTGTAGAGGTTTCATGTGAAAAATTACTGCTCAGTGCCTTCAAAAATGGAAATCTAAGAATGCATGGAGTCTTCCAATTGTGTCCCACAAACATTTGTAGGAACAGTTATACCCCAATTTGAAATTCTGTGATCAAATAATATGCAGCCAGTATTAAGAACAGAGATATAATAAATTTAAACCTTCCTTGTTTTGTTCTTATTTTTATGTGTTCAGCATAATCTAGCCATTAAAATTGTTGAGTTGTGTCAGAAGGCTTATTGTATTATTTACAAATTTAATGGATTTCGAAGGTTACATGACGTTAATTTACAGCTGTTGTTGGGTACCAGTTAGTTAACTATTTTATATACTTACACTTATACCATTGTGCATCAAACATAATTGTCCTCACCAGGTAAATAGGTAACTAAGAAGAAGATTTACAGACTGGAATGATTGAAAAAATACTCCATACTTCAGAGGTTCTTCTACCTTCTCCATCTTCAGTGTAGAAGTAATGAAATGAGAAAAATGAAAACTGATATTCAGTTAAAGGTGTAAAATGTGCTCTGCTGGACACTGAAGGACAAAGTATTTTCAGAATGTTCAAATATGTTTCTGTAAACCACTCTGAAAATCTGAAATTAAAAATTTAAGAGCAATGCAATTCTGCAATAACAGGTGACTTACAGTGTAAATAATCTGTATTAACAGCAGATTGCTATTTACTATTTGAGCAAAATATATTATTTATATTTGAAATCATCATCATTCATTGTACGAGGGTTGGAACTTTAATAGTGGCAACTATTTATAACTGATACAAAATAGATGCATGTTTCGAAGTTTTACTGTCCTTCACTGTAGTCACCAGCATTGTGTACAACCCGTTGCCAGCGATGTGGAAGTTGTAGGATTCCTTTAGCAGCGCCTGTTGTGTTGATAGCTCCAATGGAGCGGTCTACTGTCTGAAGAATCTCCGGAACAGTTCTGAAGCGAATGCCACGAAGTGGTTCCTTCATCTTAGGAATCAAGTCGAAGTCACAAGGGCTTAAGTCCGGGGAGTATGGTGGATGGTACAGCACTTCCCAGCCCCATCGATCGAACAAATCAGCCACAGCTTGCCATTTCTGCATTTCCGTCAAATCATGCGGAACCCATCATGATGCAATTTTTCTCATGCCCAGTTGTTCCTTCAGAATGTGAAGCACAGTTGTATGCGCTAATCCTGTCTCTCAGGCCAGCTCACGAATTGTATGGCGTCGATCACTCTTCAGTAACACAGAAAGAGCATCCACTTCTTCTTCACTGACACTAGGACGACCTGGCCGACGCATGTCTACCACATTTTGGCGTCCCTCGTTGAAGGCTTTTGCCCACCTTGCCACTGTTCTGTAAGACAATGCAGATATCCCGCAAGCCTCTTAAAGACCTTAATGACACTGTCGTGCTGTACGGCCTCTGGCACATTCAATCTTTATCCAACTCCGTTATTCCCTTTTCGAAAACATCGTGACAAAACTACATTAGACCGCCAGCTAACATGAGGCTCTGTTCTTCTCGTCACTGCGCATGCACGTGATGTGGGAAGGGAGAGTCCATTTGCTCTGAGGTAAGGTAGGTATGTAACTAATGTGTGGTGTGGTATAAGTGACATTATTCAGTTCCATTGCATGGCGCCTCTACAGCAGTGTTGCCACTATTAAAGTTCCAACCCTCGTAGATGCATCACAAAAGTTTATGATGTCCTGGTACTGCAGTTACCCATTAACTTCAGAAAAGTTGTACTTTAATAACTGTAAGTAATAAGTTATATTTCTTGGTTGGTTTTTAGAACATCCTGATAAAAGAAGTCCTGGATATTACATATAACATATCTGCAACATGTATTCATATGTTGATGCAGGAAACATGCTCCATTTTCTAGATACAGATTATCAAGATCCAGATGAAAAAGCATTTGAGAAGCTAAATAATGCTCCAAACAGGATCTATGCTAATATGACATCACGGCTACAGTCATCACCAAATAATGGCATGTATGAGAACACCAACAACATCATGAACATCCCCAAAACTGTAAGTGTGATGACTTTTCTTTTTGGCCTTCATATTATCAGTGTATGTTATGTAAAGAGACTACTTCTATTTCATTAATGGAGAACATTGATGTTCTGACCCACTAAACAAAATCACTTCAAGTAGTACTTTATTTATACATATTTATTAGCATGGTGGACTAGATCTTACATCCTGTGTCAGAGATTTAAGTGGCAAGGCCCAGCCATTGCAGAATTTTAAATTCTCATTTCATCTAATGACACTGCAAGCAAATTCAAAACTCTGTGGATGTAGAAAATACTTGTACTAGATCCACAATGTGATTTAAAGCACATAAGAAACAACAGGTCCATTCTGCAAGTCCTTATCCTTAATTATATATCATCATCGTCATCATTTCCATCATTGTCGTCATCATCATCATCATCATCAAGGGAGAACTGAATCTGCCCATTGGGTGCTGACAGTAATATAAAATGCATTCAAACAATCCTAAGGCCTGGCAAAGGTAAGCATATGTTATTAGAACCATTTGACAAAATAATGAGGCCATATTTTGTGAATACTCACTGCCCTAACAAACGTGGCAAACTTCAGATACCAGAGGCATAGTTATCTAAATATTCCTGATGTGCTGGACAGCAGTTGTCAATCATTCATGCTCTATCATATATCTTTTGCAAGGAAGAAATGAAAATTAAAGACCCAAATTTGTAAGCAGCTCAAGTTATTAACAATCTGTTCACAAGTGTATATAATTAAGTAGCATTCTCATAGTCTTTTGTAGGATTAAGTAGATAACTTTAACATAGAAGGGGATAGCTTTTCATTCACCAGTCTTGGGAAATTTTGTGAGGAGTATTTAACATTCTGGATGGACAGGTAGGACAGGTAGAGTGAATAAAACATGTCAGAATCCACTTAAACAGTATATTCTCAGAACAACATTTCTCATTGATTTCAGAATGATGAAATCACGTATGCAGAACTGTCGCCAATGTATGGCACATCAACTCTCAGACGTCAGCAGTCACACCAAGAACCAACGGTCTATGCGCAGATTGATGTGAGCAAGAAATTGGCCCCAGTCACAACTTCAGCTCCAGAAGGCTGTCATCCCTCAGCACTTCCCCTGCTGCACCATCCCCATCTGACTGCATACCAGCAGCCCCTTCATGTCCTGCAGCAACGCCCCCCCAGGCCTTGTGATGAGCCCCTCCCTGATCAGCAGGCTGATGTCGAGACGCCTCTCATCTCTCGCACAACATCGACACCACACAGAGAAAGCACGGTATAAAGTCATGATGCATCCTACCCTACTCCCAATAAAGTGTTACCACTAGGCTGCTGTAGAGTGTTAAAGTGTACCTGTAGAAATACTGCATCTTGTTGTAGCTTAGTTTACATATTGTTTCCTGATTAACAAAGTGCCAATGCATCATGTCATGGTTGGTGTGAGTGATTGGAATTGTGCCCATTTGCTTGGTGCTTCCTGCCTGCGGTGGGTTCAGGGTGCAGAATATTGACCAATAATTTGCTCCAAATGAAGCCTCCAAAATTAAAAGCAGAGAACTTTCTCCAGTTATGATTTCATCAAATTATACTTCTTCTCTACCACTACAAGTTACAGATGAAAGTAAGTTGTATTTTTCATTACAATTTCTTTCTTGCATTATATTTCAGTTCTATATTTCATGATAATTGCATGCTGGTATTAACAGCCCAAGACTGAAATACTATTATAATGGTCGCAGATTGATGTAAGCTAGTGTGGATAAATGTGATGTCATGCATCATCACCAGCATGGCTTGCCAGCATTAAGTCAATGTCTATATTATTGTGAGTATTTGGATTATTTTTTTTTGTACTGGAAATATAAATACTGTATATAATCGCTGCGTTTAGGGTTTATGTCGCTGAGAATATTGAACTAGAAATTAAAGCCATAAGTGATACGCTTGTTGCCTTACAGGAAAATACATATGTTGAGATATGATTGACAACAGGCCAGGTATTTATAAATGATCATTTTATTATCTCTTTAGTTAAATGAAGGTTGCAGGATTCTAACAAGTATAAGATATATGTTAAGTTGTTCGTTAATGTATTGAAATATAATTACAATGGCTGGAAATCAAACTTGCAATTTGTCATTACTTACTCATGGAACTGAGCCCTTCTGGAGGAGCCAACAATTCTGCAGCTACTCAAGAATTTCCCAGCATTTTATGGAACCTGAAGGTTCATTACCGTGTTCACAAGAGCCCTCCACTGGTCCCTATCCTAAGCCAGATGAATCCAATCCATAACATCCCATCCTCTCTCTCTAAGATCCATTTTAATATTGTCCACCCACCTATGCCTTGGTCTTCCCAGTAGTCTCTTTCCTTCTGGCTTTCTCACCGATTTCCTATACGCATTCCTCGTCTCCCTAATTCGTGCTATATGCCCTGCCCACCTCATCCTCCTTGAGTTGATCATGGAGGATGATATTCCATCCCATTTTCTTTGCATATTTCTAGTGCCTAATTGACCTAATCCTTCCATCTGTACTATGGCCCTGGGGTTGACTCAGCTTCTAGTAGAAATGAGCATCAGGAATCTTCTTGGGGATAAAGGGTGTGTGAGCTGATGGTGTAGAAAATGTGGGAGCTTCAAGTTCTCATACCACTGTGGGCCTCCATGGCCTGTTACCGGGATAACTTTACCCTCTTTTTAACTTTACTCTGTCAGCATTCTTTAACAGGAATCAGCTCTACATTCAGTAATTCATATTAAGAAATATAATAATTAATGGGACCACGGGTGTTGAACCTTCACTCTCTGATATTAAAGGAAACATATGCCTATCTATTTCATTAGTGTTTTAGAAGTGAATGTTATGATCGTACAGTCTGAACAGGTTAATAATGACCAATTCTTGAATTTATTCACAAAATTCCAGTTTTAATTCTTACTGTTGTATGTTTTGTTTCCATAAAATGCAAGAAACTTTTTGACTAGCTGATTAATGGTTAACTTTTCAAGAAGGACTCTGTTTCATAGAATCAGCTGTGTATATTTAATAATTATATTCAGTATGGGATATTTTCTCATAACTGAGCTGTACATGTTGTCTGTAGAGATCAAATATTGATCCGGATAACTACACTTTTGTTATGACTGAATGCATAAGTTCTATAATATGTTTTATATTTATTTATCTCCATTTATATGAAAGGCAATTTCAGTATTGATATACAAAACAATTTCTGCATTGTTTGCTGTGGTAATAACTTATCACTAGCATATGCACGTATCTGATTTGGACCGCACTTAGCTCAGTGAATTTCCTGTAATTTCTAGGAACAGTATATGAAATCTGTGTACTTACATTTAAAAATGATAGTGTTAGAAAAAGACATATCTGAATTATTTTATTTCAGTATTAGATTCACACAGATTCATTTCCATTTTATTGAAATCACTCAATGTGTTGGAGTCGTTGGCATCATGTTTTTATTAGACTATTGGAAGCTTATCTCTTGCTAACAGTTTTTATGTCCTATGCAGCATTTATGGAAGCACACATCATTTGTAGAGATCTTAAGAATTTGAGAATGAGAATAGCCTAAGTTGTTAGCAATTCTCAGTTTCTATTATTTATTATAGAGAAAAGACTTTTTATATGCATTATGACCCACACTTATTATTGGTTCTGACTCTTTTACTGACATTCTCTTTGTATAGTTCAGGAACTTCTAGAAAATAAGTTCCTTCTGCTATAAATATTTCCTGATTAACTACATAGGATATCACCTGAAACAAGTGAATGGTACAGTATTTTGCCATCCATTAAGAAATTAATTCCCAAAGCATGTATAATATGTCGCTCAATATCCATGTTCTTACATTAATTTTTTTTAAATCACTTAGTGGGGAGTGGAGTCCAGCTGGGTCCACTCGGCATGGCAGCCACTGATTGGTCTATTGTAGCCTGCCCAGGGTGATTATGATGATTGAGAATTTGGTGGAATGAAGACTGGTAGGGGAAACCGAAGTACTCGGAGAAAACCCGCCCCAGTGCCACTTTGTCCACCACAAATCCCACTTGACCAGACCCAGGATCGAATCCAGGCCACTGTGGTGGGAAGCCAGCGACTAACAGCTTGAGCTATGGCACAGCCATGTTCTTACATTAATAATTATACATATTTCGTGTTACTTGAAGTCTTTTTATTAATTTAATCGTCTCTTTAGTGAAATACATTAATTGCATTTTGTGCCACCAGGTGGGACACCAGCATCCCATGTCAGAACCAGGAGGGCGAATTCCCACATCTCAAGGTCCCCGTGTGACAACTACAAGGTTCTGACTGTCTAATGCTGAAGTATGATGCACATTTCATCAGATCATGATGAATCAATTTGTACAGTAGTAAACCAGCCAGACCACAGTACAAGTGAAGGAAAGATGAATCTGAGAGCTGAGTTATATGGAGTATCACAAGAAAACAGAGAATTTCGCTATCTGAATTCTTCTTCAGTGGCCATCAGTCAATTTAATATGTACAAGTAATCTGTGTGTGTGTGCAGGGGACAGAAATGTTCAGTGTGTCACTCCAACTGAAGGCAAAAAATCTTGAATCGTTTTCTAGGCATATTCATTTGGAAGAGTAATATAGAAACATTGATTACTGAGCGTTATAATGGTCATGACCAGATTCGTTTTCTGCTTCTGATATCTCTAAGCAGGTTCAGAGAAGAAATTAAAACCTCAACTTCAGTTCATGTTGGCTGCTGATGTAACCAGTGTGTGAAACCGCTAAATCCAAAGGAATTTAAGACACTGAAATAAACAGTGAATTATGTAAACATTTTCTTATTCTAGTTTAATAAAACAAGGAAAATGACTTGCAGGGAAGGGATCTGAGTGATTTTTGTTTCTCAGAATTTAAAAGTGTCATACTCCAAGACTATAACTTTTTTAAGGAGGTTAACTATATAGAATATTATTCCATTTGTACTACAAGAAAACAGTGATATTTGTATCTGCAAAACCTCACTGTTGTTTGTATGCCGAGATGGGGTGCATTGTCAGTCTATTCTGAATTTTTTATATTCATCAAGCCAAATGAGTTTTGAAAGAGATCAAAATCTCATTTTTTTAAGTGTGATTGAGTATGAGTGATTTTAAATGAATGAGTGTCTGCAAGAGAAATGACTTACATAAAGCAAAGTAAATGCTTAAACAATCCATTTTCATAGGCATTTGTCTTAAAATTTTGTTTTTTTTTTTCTGAGGGAATGTGCAAAAAAGGTAGAAGAAGATTTATTTACAATATGAGTATTAAGTGGTAATATTCCAAGAAAAGTGGGGTTGAATTTATCCATATTAAGACATATACATGGCCACATTTATAAACATTTTAAGGTTTCTGATTTTTACACAAAAGCTTTATGACATGTAGAGTAAAGAGACAAAAGTAAAGGAAGACAATCATGATAAAATGACTGCAGGATAGACAAGAACTATTAACATAAGTATATATATTTAGGTTTAATTTCCCAACACTTTTACAGGCATTTTGTGTTTATGTTAATTATCTGTTATTTAATCAGTGTGAATTCAGTCACAGACAAGGTAACACAGTTCAGTTATTTTATGTACTCTTCTAGGCTATGACATATCTTACATAAATTACAGTTCTATAAAATTAAAATTCATAAACTCTGATTCTTTCCTGGGACTTAAAGGCACAGTCTGCTCATGAATGTCCAAAATTATATGAGGCTGTGATCATCATTGCTGTTTCATGGTTGTGAAAATAGGACACTTAGAATTGAAGTGGCAGAATGTGGTTATTGGCAGAAGTCACTAGGAATAGTTTAGTATATAAAAAAACAAAGTTAATGTAAGATAGAATTTAATATATGTTAAATTGATGGGGTAATAAAGTGTTGTCACTCTGGCTGAAAAAAACTATGTAACAAAATTCCTGGTAACCATATATCAGAAGTGTTAATGAAGTATGATACAGGAATTGAAAGATGATGACATAAAAGTAGGAAGAGTTGATATTGCAATTCTGATGAATTTGGAACTAGTCTAGCCCCTAACTTTGATGTTAATGGTCTTGCAGTTTACAGGATACAGATCACCCATCCCTACATAACATGCAAGTATTTTGATTTGTTTAGAATGTTTGCCACTTTGCTTATTACCAAGAGTTTTAATTATGAGATTTTGATATGGTTATAATAGTTCATAAACTAAGGACTAAATTACTTCAACATAATAATAGTATAGCATCTTTAGTTTTAAAAGCTTCATACCTGTAAAACATCTTAAATATTTAGGGAGACAACATTGGGTATATTTCTTCCTACTCTTATAACCCCATAGGTGATACTTTGAACATATGTCCCTGCAAACCTAGCAGTGGGCAGGGATCAACTTATAAATTGAAATTGAAAGAAAGTAAGTACTAGTAATCATACTGTGTTTGGGCATGTCTGAAAATTTCAGAAGTTTATACATAATTTAATAAATTATGTAAAACATGCTAATGTGCTCTTCAATGCTCTCTCAGTACTATAAGAGATCCTACATAACTAACTAATGTTTATTGGCTGTGCATTTCATTATTGTAATAGTAGCTCATGTATGCAGTCCAACCAGCCTCATGATGCGCCTTTTAAAATACTCATATAATTTTCCTTGGCACTACAGCCCCAGTGGGACTAGGCCTACCTCCATGAACTTCTCCATTCACTTCGGTTTTCCTAGATCTTACACATTCAGTAGGACTCTTTGGGTGGGTGATCAGCTCATTGCAAGGCCTCTACCTATACACAAACACAGAAAAACGCACACAAACAACCATGCCCTGAGTGGGATTCGAACCCACAATCCCGGCTTCCGAGTGAGCGAAGACAGTGCACGCCTTAGACCGCTCGGCTACCGTGACTGGCACTCATATAATTACCGTCTTGTTAAAATCTGCCTGCCAGTCCCCATATTACTGGAGAATTTAAAATTCTTATTCCCAGAATCTAATGGTTAAGTATATAATGGTATGAACTAAAGAATTCCACAATATAAAGAGGCATTCATATTATTTTCAAGCAAAGAATTTACTACATCCTTGCGCTTTCAAGGAGACATACTGTAGTCAAATTTTCAATAGCCTACAGCAATACCTTTTAATTAGAATATAGTCAGCTGTAGTATTCATGGCTGTTAAAAAGTGTTCCCATGTTAATGGATGAAGTCCTATTTAAGACAAAGTTAAACATAATTTTAAAATAATGTTCTTGATGGAACTGTTCTTTTAAGAGATAAGTCAGTTGTAATTTGGCCATGTAATCACAACACCCATATAGAATTGTACAATATGTTGCAGTCTTCTGTTCAAAAGATCATATAGTTACTACCTTTAAATTGATAAACATCATACTTCCCCAGTTATAGGAAGTAATTTTTTCATATTTTAGAATTTCTGAAATAAGGATGTCTTTTATATTTGATGACATTTAAGAATTAATGTCAAACGATCATACTGTATGACTACAGCACAAGGAAAATCTTCATATCTCTAATATTAATCATGGGTACTGTAAACACAAAGATTGCAACAATGTAGATTCCAAAATTATTTCAATGTATTTCTGTTATTAAAAATGTTGTTATATATGATAATATATAAAACACCTGATGGGGGCTTGGAGGCTGAAAATATCAAGTATTTTTAATACTATTGGTTACATTTTGCAATGAAAATAGATCAGTCAGAATTTACTGTTGCACCTATGGGCATTGTTTCATCTTAAACCTTCCTTAAAATAACACTCAGGAAGAGGAGTAGGGGATGGGTATTGTTGGCATTGTAAAATGTTCCGTTATCATCTTAGTGCACTGTTGGATGTACTTAGTGTTACATGTTGGTGTATTTTAATTCTTGCATGAAATTTCAAACCCAAAATACTGTAGACAAGTGCCACTTTACAATGTCTTGGAAATGGTTGTATTAGGATGAAGCATTAAAAGGAAACCAAGAGTCGGTCTTACAGTCAGTAGGATCTGTCTACATGAAAACCTATTGCTAAATAAAGGGTTTATTTTACAACCGATGGAGTATTAGAATGCAGGAAATATGGTACATTCAGTGACATTTCAAGCTACCTAAAGTGTTGGGAAAGAAATCTAAAATTTCTCAAATCATTTCATAAAAATTCATAAGTTGGGGGTTTTGTAGGTTTCATTGATTAAATGGTGATGAATTACCAGAATCAGGAGCTGAAGAGAGTGGATATTTCCAGGAAAGCTGGGATAATTGGTAATACTGAACATAACTGATCTGAGACAAGTTCACAGGTAAAATAATCAACTTTCATGACTAATAAATTATACATGTTAATTTCTTCTGAAGTAATGTTTAAAATGCAAATAGCTCTATAAGATATAATGCTGAACTTAGCCACATGAGTTTTAAAATTTGAAGTGAAATTTAAATCTGATTAATTGTGTGTATTCATTTTTAAAAATTATGGTATACAGAATTCATGAATAGCTTCTTGACTACCAGATTCTGTACCAGGATTGAACTCTCAGATAAACGTGACCTAAGATCTAAAATAAGGTCACAGGTGAATGTAAGAAAATATTATTCTGTTAACAAGAGATGCTTAAATAAAATTAGTTAATACTAATTCAGTAAAATACATTACCAACATTTAAGAAAATACTGGAGGATACTAGAAGTATTTGTAACTTATTTATATCTAAATTCTGTAACAAATTAAAATGAGTATATGAAAATAAAATCCTTCCAAATTTTGAAATTCATTTTCAAAAATATTTTAAATTTTACACATTGGTGTTATTTATAGGAGTTTCTTCCTTCTAATATGTAACACTGCAGCATATTCAACCCGTTTTCATAAGACATAGAAATAAAAATGTACACAAATCTATTATTAAAATTATAGAATGAATTAAAGTTGAATAGAAGTACACCTTTTTGGATTATGGGCGAATCACGTGGTAGTGTAGTTGTTTGAGACATTATGCTATAAGCCAGAAGGTCCCGGGATCAAATCCTGTTGAGGTGAATTTTTTTTTCAATTTACCAAATCCTTCCAGCCACACTATGGCCCTGGGGTCGACTTAGCCTCTAACAGAAATGAGTACCAGGAATATTCTTGGATGTAAAGGGTGGCCGGCACTTAAAGCTGACAACCTTACCACCATCTGTCTAGAAAATGTGGGAACCTCAATGTCTCACAACCCTATTGGCCTCCACGGCCTGTTACAGGGATACAGTTACTTTTTTTTTATATGTATGTGCACTCATTGTCACATTAGATTAATGGCATATTTCTTTCTATAAGGAAATCATTGGATGCAGTTATTACCAGTTTTCAAAACAGAAGAGTACTAGTGTATCTCAAGATAACTGACATTTTGAAACAAACCACGATTATCTGGATGTTCTGAAAATGGTCATTATGATAAAATATCAGGAGATTTATTGGATAGCCCCCAAATGTGGGATTTTATCTCTAAGCAGCAGAAGAAATAGGTAAAAACACGTAAATACATAACCTTTGAAGGGGTATAAAGCAATTCTTCTCCGTGAACAAGATATTGCATTCTCTTAGAATTCTGAACTGTGAATGTATAATATCATGTTTTTAAAAGGATAAAAATTTACTGCATCCTAAGCTGATTAATTTTGATTCTGGAACACATGCATTATCTTGAATTTTTGCTACTACTGGAGGCTTGATATCCTGTGTGAAATATACAAAATATGTTATACTTGTACAGGAGCTAAGAATCATTCAGATAATTAATGCATTTTAATATACACTTAATAATTTCCATATATTGTTTACCAATTTGCAGTAAACACCATTCTACCATTCACATTAACATTAAGCACTGAAACGATACTTAAATACGCATTCATTCTACTCTGTTGATGAATTCCTATTGTCTAGAAAATAACTTATGTATCTTTAAATAGCCTTGTGTGTAGTCACTGTGTATTCTTGGTTTCTCTTGTGTGAGAACTCCATTGGGTTTGTACATATGTTTTGTATTTATATGACATATTCTACATCCTACAGTCATTTTGACTAACTTTGGATCCATGGAATGCAATGTAATGTAATGTAAGCAGTTGAAGTCCACAGGTTTTAGCATGAAATTAGCATCCAAATTAATTTTGTCTGAATATCAAGACTGCTGCTCTTAATGCAGGGCCCTCCTTGAGACCCATTTATAATAACAGTTAGTGAACCACCAGAATGAATTTCAAAATTTTGTTTCCCAATTTTAAGGCTTCCGGAAAGTCACACTGAATCAAGCAAACAGCTAAAGTGATTAACTACAAAGTTTTATTTCTTCACTAGAAGTATTTGCCAGAATTGTTGGGTAAGTAAGTAAAGGTATCCTTGTAACAAGCCTTGGAGGCCCATAGAGTTGTGAGATGTTGAGGGTCCCACACTTTGTAGATAGTTGGCTCATAGATGGCGACAAGGTTGTCAGCCCTACAAGCCGGCCACCCTTTACCCCCAAGAATATTCCAAGAATATTTTTGGTACTCATTTCTGTTTTAAATAACAGGTGTATGATGTGATGAGTATACAAAACTATAATTTTGCCTGTGGTTCTGCATTGGTGTGAAACTTGGTCTCTGCCATTAAGGGAGGAACATAGACTGAAGGTGTTTGAGAACAGGGTATTGAGGAGAATATCTGGACCGAAGAAAGATGAAGTGACAGGAGCTTGGAGAAAACTGCATAATGAGGAGCTTCATAACTTGTACTCTTCTCTAAGTATAATTAGAATGATCAAGTCAAGGAGGGTGAAGTGGGCAGGGCATGTAGCACGAATTGGGGAGAAAAAGGAATGCCTATAGAAAGCCAGAAGGAAAGAGACCACTGGGAAGACCAAGGTGTAGGTGGGTGGACAATATTAAAATGGATCTTAAAGAGATAGGATGGGATGGGATGGATTGGATTGATCTGGCTCGGGATAGGGACCAGTGGAGGGCTCTTGTGAACACGGTAATGAACCTTTGGGTTCCATAAAATGCTGGGATTTTCTTGAGTAGCTGCAGAATTGGCAGCTCCTCCAGAAGGGCTCAGCTCCACGAGTGAGTGAGTAAGTAAGTAAGTAAGTACTCATTTCTGTTAGAGGCTGAGTCGACCCCAGGGCCATAGTGTGGCTGGTAGGATTAGGTCAAGTGAAAGAAATCCAATGACCTCATCGGGACTTGAACCTGCAACCTTCCGGCTTGTAGCATAGTGCCTCAACCAACTACGCTACCATGTGTCCCATCCAGAATTGTTGGGTAGAGTGATTAACATAATTACACTATCTAAATCCACTCAAAATATACTGAACCACTGCCTTATGTGTGTCTTCATACAGAGTAGTTTTTGATATTTATTACCTCTGGTCTCATTTGCACATATACTATAGGAACATATACATATGTATGAATTCAATTTACTGTAGAAAAATTAGTTGGAAGAGACAATATTAATTGTACATTTACTACTTGTGATCTAAATGATACATATGGACAACACTGACAGATGAGACTTTGCACATAACATTATACGGCCATAATTCAGCTTCCATACTTCACAGTTTTGTTCTTATTTGTAATTGAAATATAAAAGTATGATTCACTCAGGAGAAAAGAAACACAGTTTATTACATATGAAATTTACTTCTTGCTGGTCATTAAAATTCAAAACTTTGGAATAT